CTTGACCGTCGGCGCCTGCAGCTGCGAGGACAGCGGAGGAGAGGACCGGTGAACACTCCCTCGGAGAACACCAAACGAGTGGAGAAGCGTCAACGACCTTTTTGGAAGACCAAAGTGGTGCGTTTTAAAAGGAGGGTAGGAATCTTATGGAATCTTGAAATATTTCGTGAGATGGAACCTGTCTCTATAAACAACTAAGAAGTCTTCGTCGCCGTCTTTTCTTCCGCTGAGCTCGCTTCCTGGTTTTGGGGGTGGCATCCATCTTACCTTCTAACACCTTCTCCAACACCTCGCCTCCCCCCGGTGAACACTTCCGGCTCGGCCTAGGATGAAGACCGGCGCTGCCGTGTCCCAGCAGTTGGGCTCCCTGCCGACTCCACCGAAAGACGGGTGCGGAAGGCGCCGCGGCGCCGGCCGATTCGGCGCGGTGACCTTTCGGGGTTCACGGCCGCCACCCGGGTGAAGACATTTGGAGACGTTTGGAGACTGGGGGGGGAAGGAATGAGGCTTCGGGTGGGCGCGTCGTATGTGCGACTCCTCAAAAAGATGTCCAACAGATTCCAACTGCTCTGGTGATGTATCTGTGATTCCTGCTGCAGTGGCTCAGTGATGCGATCTTGAGCGGTGCTACCGAGTCGTTTTTCCCCCCACACTAGGCCGGAACAGTTTCACTGTATTTGCTGTTTTAGTCGAGTTTCAATTCAACTGAAACCTGGAGAAATCATCTATGATGACTATACCCTAGCCTTCCAAGACCATGGAAAGAAATCTTGACCTGGATTTTGTCTAAACTGGCAGTTTGGTAGGCACCCTCAAATCAAGCATGCTTGGAATCCTGGTTGGAATCCTATAGGGAATCCTAGCTCACAAGAAAGTCAGTTGTCATCTCTTGAAACTCTCTAATAGACTTGCCCATCAACGACCCAAACACCCACGAGGACACTCGACCCGCTCCGCGACCCACGACCCGCATGGTCGCTCGTGGTCGCCTCGTCGCCTCGTCGAAGTGGTCCCAAGCCTCAGAGTTCGCAGCGCAGCGGCTTCTGACCGGTTCACAGCGGTGTGCAGAGGTGTCCAGGAGGTTCGCAGCAGCTTGGTGTCTGGTTTCGCCTTCGCAGGTTCAGATGGTTTCGAGGTCAATGTCAATTCCATTCCATTCGACATCACGGGTCCCTTGAACTGGAAGATTACGGTCCCTGACCTGAAAACGACATCACCCCGCTTCAATCGACCAAGTGCGTGCTTTCGCGACAAGGCCGAGGACCTGGACAAGGCCACGGTGTGGGTGACACGTTTCGAGATGGCCTTGACAAAGGATCATCTCAACAAGCAACTTCGACATTGTCTTTCACATGTGCATGCAAAGGGCTACAAGTAGTATGTATACATTGGGTCTATCCTGTAACAGTGGATGATGATGGTTCAGTTGCAGGCCTTTCTTCAAAAATAGTGATTTGCTTGTTTACTGACTGTTACCAGGTAAGTGCGGACAGACCCAAGCAGTATACAAGCTACAATGTTGGGTGTTACACCATGATCTTTCTCATGCTTCGAATGTGTTTGACCGCCGGAGATGAGTTTCCACCTCAGATTCTGAACGTCGAATCCGCGCAGCTTCGTGGCTCGCAGCTGGAAGGAAACGTTGGCACGGTGGCTCCCAGATGTGATCACCGGTGACTCTGAGCGTCACACCAGTTATGGCCAGTCACACCAACACGGTTTCACCCGTTCACGAGTGTCTCCAGAAAAAAGGGTGAACCACTGGACAGCTGGTTGAACCACTGCGGACCCCTCAGAAACACTCATCGATGAAAACTGGGCTAAATGTACCCCGCATCTGAAACTCAGCTGCTCAAGAGTTTCAAGTACCAACTTGGGCATACTTGGGCCGAATGTTTGACCAAACCCTACCCAAACCGCCTGAGATTGGTTTGCCAAGAGTTTTCACATGGGGGGTATAAATTGCAAACTGCCACAAGAAGCCTGAGGCCCCTCACCATCCTCTGCAGTGACCCTCAAATCCTGAGCTGGGCAAACATCGGCGTGAGAGAGCAAAAGGTTCTTTGCGTCTTCGGTTCTTTAGAAGAGTAATGAATGATGTGTTCAATGTGAGCAAAGTACAGTAATGCATGTCTCAAATCAATGTTCTCCAGACACAAATGCCGGTGCGATCGAGTCTCAGTTGATCCCAATTGACGGCCCGGCCGCGGCGGGGTTCCGAACTGTGAACACTCTTCGGCGAGTGACGAACTAGAGGTGACTGGATGTGAACTGGATGTGACTGTGCGTGGGTAAAACCGCCGAAACCAAACGGAAACATGGCATCTTTCTGTCGGTCTGAAAACCCCAAAGACTTGAGGGAACCATGCAGTTCTTGTCGTCGGGTCTCATCAGTTGTTTCAAGATTAGCATCCCATCACATCGCATTCGGTACATCGGTCACCATCACCTGCTAATCGGTACACGTTCCGAGTGAGCGACCACCGCCGGGGTCTGCGACCACCGTCTCAGCGACGAAACCCGCCTTTTCCACCTGTTAACGTGTCCGGGGTGCCTTTTTCCACGTGTCCGTGGGGCCATTTCCAAAGAGGGACGGACAAATAAACAATAATCTAAACATATTGCAAAAACCGCTTGCAAACCACCACCAGCCAAAAAAATCAAAAAAGGGACAGGCTAGCTATGGATAGCTCGAAGATGCGGTTCTCTTGCGACCGTGCAGATTGGCTGAGGCCCCCAGCCTCCAGCCTCTATGTCGAGACGAAGCAAACCCGCACTTCTGAACTTCCAAGCAATAGTTTTAGCTCAGGTATAGCCAGTAGTAAACAAATTGAGATCGTGTATAGGACATCATGTGTTATATTCTCTCAATACACTTCAACATTCAGAACACTTTAACAGAACTCTGAACTTGAATGATTCTTCTGGACTGCTTGTGGAATTGCTTGTGGAATCCAGATCGCCTTACTCGCTTTCGGAGCCAATCTCAGCGGAGAGCAAAGCTGCACCATCCAGAAGCTCTAGCATCTCTAGCTGCCTATGATGCTGCAGCGTGGCAGTTTGCTGCCCAAAGTCAGACCAGAAAAACCACGCCAACAACGCACGGTCGGCTGATGCAGTCTGATGGTCCTTCAGACATCTGAGGCTCCAGTCTCTTTGCCCTCCCAGTCACTGGGAGGCCTTGCAACATGTGTTGAAGGCGAGCATGCATCAAGTGTGCAAGCAGCACTTCGCATCAGCACTTCGCATCACCGAGACCGCACTTTGTCCACCTAAGGTGCTCGGGGCTCTGAAGCAACCGAAGCTTGCGCTGAGTTCAGCACAAGGAAAAACAATGCCACAACTCCCTTAGTTGTGGTGACATTGGATCCAGGAATCAACGACGCAACAATGTGGGCCGAATTAAGGAACGTTCCTCTGAATTGATCGATTTTCTCAACATGTATTGGCAATTGATTCATTTATATACTATGATGTATTGTATCTTATGTCATTGTGTGATATATTGTGATTAAAAGAACACAAAAAAAAATGTATCTTTGGTTTAGCTATCCAACGATGAGAACACGAGCCCTAAGCAGCTGGCGTCTGCTCCAAAAATATGGAACTACGATGAACTAGGGGTACAAATCTCAGAATGCATGGGTTGATTAAGACTTGTGGTTGCCAGTGTTTTTAAAAATAACATCTGTGTATATATATATAATACAATATAATACATATATATGCATGGTGTGGGACAGCAGGCAGGCTTGCGGTCCATAGAACAAGTTTCCTGAAGTAGGTAAAAGCACTTTGGTATCGAAAACCGTCTTCAGAACAATGAATGGAAGACTTTCATACTATCTGCAATTATTGTGTATCCAACTTCTTCAACTCATGGGGTGAACACCTTGTTTGCAACATGGCGCAACCCGATCCACCCCGCAACACATATTCTCCGCGCGGATCCACTGTCAAGCGGGCAGAAGGTGAACTGTGCACTTAACACACTGCCAGCGGCTTGCTGCCTGGAGCCCGGCCGTTTCTGCTATGCATCATGAGGATCCTAATAGATTGAACGTCTCGATGGGCGACGGAAGGGAAGTCCAAGCGAACCCTTCCGCCGCACGGACTGGCTTCCAGGGCACGCGACTGGCAGCCACGCCCCGCGGCATGGCCATCCTATCTACTGAGCTAAGGGAGCTTCCTGGTTTGGCAAACCTAACAACTGGAACGCTCTAGACCACGGTCTCAAGGTAACCAGAACGATGGCAGAGGATACCGTCATGCTCGACTTGGAATGGAAAACTGCTAGGGCGGATACCTCCGGCAGAAGCAAAATTCTACTAATGACGATCCAGCTAGGTGGATACATCTGGATGCGTTTGCCCTACGCACCGGAAGCTCCAGGGTTCTACGCAGCTGCAGCCCCACCGCCAAGCGTCTGATGCGACTTGGGGGCTTCCGGTACCCCCCATGTTCCCAGGACCTTTGAGCAGGATAGGAACGACCAATTCATCCTAGGTGATAGAAAGGAACCGTCTACCCTGAATCCTATAGGATAGGAACCGTCTCCTATCCCTATTACCTTTACGGGGTGATAGACAACCATTTCACCCTAGTTTCAGTGCAAAAGGGTGCTGCCTGCCTTACCTTGACAAGCCTGCCTTTCATCGCGCACCGCCACTGGTCAAACACTGCCCAATATCTGATATCCCATCTCCCATAGCCCCAAAGTACACCCAGCCTTGTGAATTTGTTCTGTCCCCTACAATCCCCTCATTTGATTCTCGATGGAAGGCTGCAGCTCTAAAACGGAGTGCAAAATGTAAATGGATTGTCAGTCCTTGCATGTTCTTACACACCGCCACAAACGCCTGTTGCGCGGCACTCTCTCTCTCTCTCTCGCTCTCTGTTTATCTATCCATCTATCTATCTGTCTGTCTGTCTATCTATCTATCTGTCTGTCTGTCTGTCTATCTATCTACTGTATCTATCTATCTATCTATCTATATTATCTACCAGTATCTGTCTATCTATCTCTACAGTTCTCAAGTCTCAAGCGTGTCTTGCCAATCAAAGGTCCAAAGACCATGGACCGTCTTCTTCGCCGCACCGCACCCGTTCCGGCACCACCGGACGACGCGTCGACGGTGACCGTCGACGCGTTCGAATCGAAAGGGCTTTCGGAAAGGGACGCGTTGACCGGGGGGGGTGAGCATCGGATCGGGTTCAAAGTGCTTAGAGCCTATATAGCAATCAAACACTGTAAAAAACACCAAGCTGCTCTGGCAAAAGATGCCGGTTGTGTGAGATGATCTGATTCTATCAAATTGCAATATTCATATTCTATAACATATTCTGCAACAAGATGATCAGTTCGTGTACAGCTTCATCAAGATTCAGTGGTTCCATTCTCAGAATGTCTCACTGATTCGGCGTTGTCCAGATGGAACACCGTCTTCGTCCAACGCATTGGTCATCCGCCTCCTGAAGACAGCCCCAACAACCCCGGCCACGGAGTTCGAGCAGTGGCTGTTTTCTGGGCACCGGGGTTTCCCATCCGTTGATAGGTCCAAAGCATCGCTCCATGTGGGGTCCAGACGTTGAGGCGTCGCCCGCGCGGCCCGCGCAACCGGGGTCCGGGCCCCCGGACCGAGTCGGTCCGCTCACGCTCGGGACGCCGCCTGTGCAGACGCGGCCCGGTGCGGCCGCGGGGGGTCGGGCCTTGGGGTCAGCCAAACAAGCAGCCAGCATCTTGCACCACCTGGGATACGGAATCTTGAGTAGCTCTCTCTCCTTTAAAGAAACACCCTTTGGAGGACATCGCTAAATACAGTGTGCCTTTGTGTCTAAATTGCACCCTCCTACGTTCAATTAGGTACCCACCCGCATGGAGCAACACAAAGGCGCTTTCCACCAAACTGCGTGGCACCCATCAGCTATTGAAATCTTTATATAGATATCTTAATTCAGTTGTTAATCTGATGGAAATGTTACCAGTCAAGAACACCAAAGACCAAATATCAAAGCTGTTAAACATGTGTCACATACAAGACTTGGCCAAGTGCCACCAGGTGTCGCCCACCACCACCGGACCACCGGACGACCTCGACGACCCCTCGCCATCGACCCGGTTCTGTCTCGAGACCGTCGGGGACCTGTAGCAGGGACCTGTTCAAAGGTAGCAGGTCCTCCACACCAGGAGCCGGGAACCCGTCACGGAAGAAAAAGACACCAAACGCTTCCTGCCTTCGTCTGAACGTTGGCCAGCAACGCGGCCCTGAAGAACCGGTTCGAACGTCGGCAGGAACGGGGTTCGAAGGGTCCGAACCACGGACGGATGGGGCTGGGCACGTTGCGACCCCTTTGCGGCCCCGGGCGACCTTGGAGGAACTTCGCATGGTCAGACGGTCAAACCCTCGACATTCGGCAGCAATTTCTTGGGCCTTTCTCGGGACACCCGAGGGTCAGTTGGGCTTGGCGTACGGAAGTGTTCTAGGTCCGTGCTCCAGGATCGCAAGGGAATGCAAGGGAACTGGAGTACTTAGGCTGCTTCATGCTGGTACTAGTATTGCAGAGCTCAGGTCGAGCGGGGTCCTTCCTGCCTCTTTGGAGTCATATCGACGGCAAAGCAAGATGAGAAAGAGAAGCATGTCTACGGAACGGCGAGGACATGACATTGGAGAAGCAGCACAGGACTCTGTTCAGAGAGCTGTTTCAGAATCTAGAATGGGTTGGAACATATTGGAACTCTGAATTCTCCCATGCACTGCCTCTCTCGAGGCATGGCGCCTCTCTTTTTCGACCCCACTGGGTCCTTCCATCGGCCGACCGAAGCCACTGCAACCTCCCGACCCGCCTGATCTCTTGGATACAGTCCTCTGGCACGCTCTGAAGGGAGAGGTCAATATCTATCACCGCGCCAGATTTCTGCAAAGCAGCCAAGATCCTCGGTCGAGAGGATGCGACGAGGGGAAAATGGATCTACTGTCCTTGCGGGTCCTTGCCACGTGCATCCACTTGCTTTCCCTCCTTGCAGGTCATTCGGTATCATTCGGTCCGCATTCGGTCGGACCATGCCCCAACTACTATAGTTACTATAGCAGGCGATGGCCTCCAACCTGAATAGCGATAGCCTGCACACCTTGCGACCTAGTAGCTTCTTGCTACTATAGATCGATCTACTAATTACTACCAGGACCCTCCAAGGGGTGCTCAATGGAAGCCTATATAGGTAGTGTGGGGTAGTCCATTAGACACCGCTTGGAGGGTCCTGGTATGCCAGGCGTCGCGGTCGCACCACGGCAGGTGATGCGGTTCCCGGAGAGGTACAACTGATTCAGCGCACCTGAGCCGCGAAACAGCGAGGGCCAAAAAGAGAACAGCGAGGGTCAAAACAGGTCAAAACATGTCAAAACTCTAATCCCTAGCTTTGATGGTCCTTTTCAGTGGAGACATTAGGAAATCAACGTAAAATATCGTAAAACCCCAGCCTCCCCTCCAACAATCATGGAAAATGGAAAATTTGCAGCCAGACCGAGACCATGCACTTGGAACCCCCCGGCCTACCGCTTTACCCGGCCGGACCGAACGATCCCCGCCTTAAGCGGTCTCCGTTCCGACACCCACCCAGCCGCTGCCGGGGCGCAGCCCGCTTCGAGGGCCGACGCCAGGTGGATCGCGCCCTCGTCGTCGATGGCGTTGTGGCACCTCGGACGACCGGGGGGGCGGGACGGGACGAAGCTGCTGAGGGGGGAGATGGGGCCGAAAGGAAGAACATGAAACGAACTTCCCGTGTTTTCACGTGTCTTGCCTTGGAGCGACTCAACTTGGACATGGTGACATGGCCTCCATAAAAGGGTTAAAACATATTAAAACTTCTAGTCGACATCTTGAGGTCGAACGGGTGGCAATAGGTCGAACGCCACCAAGGAGCCTCAAGTACTGTATCAGTTCAGATCCTGTGTGATTTCCCCTTTGTTCAAAAAATCCTCTGACTATATCTGACTAGTATATATCCGCAGGAGCCAAACATGCTGCTTCCCTGCCGTCGTTGTTCCTGTCTTCTTGCACCGACCCAACCAACTACGGAGGAACGACCGACGACCAACGACAGACGACGAACCAACGACCATCGCTCCTTTGGCGTCCAAGGCACAGATACAAGTGCGTCAGCGTGGAGTTCTTCGGTAGGACCTCGACCGCCGAGTCCGCACCGCACGAGTCGCGCGTTCAGGTCAGGTCGTTCGCCCCCGTTCGTCGTCGCCGTGCCCCGCGTGGAGCTCGCACGGCAGCTCGCTGGAGCAAAAGGATGAGACAGGACGAGACCAGTTCCGATCATCAGAGTGCCAGTCTGTTGACTGGACTGACCAGCACCTGGTTACAAGAAGAAACCACAAAACATCACTCCGCAAATCCATCCAACTTCGGCATTGCGGTCACCGCAAAAGGTTGCAAGTGGCCGCAGGAGGTTCCAGGTACAACCACCAATGCTCTTTTTTCCCCGGGGGGTTCCCGGAACTCCATGGCTTCGAGCGGAGCGCTGAGCGGAGCGGCCTCGGCCAGACGAGCCGCGCCCCCCGAGGAGATGCCATTGAAGTCCAGCCTCAGAGAGGGTGCTGAGAAGGGACGGGATGGATATGGATTAGGGGGATGGTGTCCTTTCCAATGAAAACAGGGCGGTGAAGGTCCTGTTCTAAATGATACTCTAGAGGTTGATAGACACCCCTGAAGACCAATCGGCCTTTTTTTCCTTTGACTTGCTTCGCAGTGGTGTGTCACGGTCTATCCACGGCTCCATTTCGACATGACTTTGGACTCTATATTGAGTCTATGGGCGTCTCCAAAATGAACAGTTATCTGCCCTGATATATCCCTGGACCAGACCTCTTCGCAGGGGTCGGACCCAACATTTGTGTAGGGGTCCGGATGCTCAAAGCACTTTCCATTTGAGGGCCCGGATTCTTACAAAAATTAACATTAACCACTACAAGTAGCACTGATGATGCACAAAGGACTCGTGATACTCATGGGGAGTGTTTTGGGCGGCTACTTCGACAAATATACTATATGTGCTAAGACTTCAGGGAAACATCACTCCATGCAGTGCGTTTCAACCTACGTAGAGATTCTCAAGAGAAGAGTTATGTAAGAATTCCAACGCAAAACCGTGAGTCCTGCGCAAAACCGTAAGTTATTGCTTTGATTCAGTGTTCAAATATTGATCGTCACCCCATGAACACAAGTCATGGGCAATGCAAGTGCCCTGAACCTACACAATATGTTTATATATGTTTATTGAATTTTGAGGTCTTCAATGCTGTTCGGTGTTCATTGCCCCAGTACCAGGCGCCAGAACTGCCCGGAGAACCAGCCCATTGCTTTCGTCACAAGTCTCGACGGAACGAGAGAACCACCATGACCAAGCTGCCAAAACAAAAAAACACCAACCCCTCACCCCTGACTGGTGCGACTCCTTGACGGAACGAAAGGGATCCCTCCACAACCATCGGAGACCGAGCAAATTGCTCCGCGGACGTATCACGGACCTCCTATCCCCCACGAGCGGCAGGCGGTCCAAACATCCGGTCCCAACATCGGGGGCGGCTAGCCTGTTGCTTCGCTCTCGCCCGGAACACTGTCTGGGCTAACCTCGCTCCAGCCTCTGCAGGCTGCTGTTCTCCAACAACACTTCAGCCAGGCACTCTGCACCTCCGACCGTTCGCACAGGACGAAGCAGGTCCGTTGGAACGGAGCAGAGTGACATAGACGTGTTGCCCGTTAGTCATCACACCTCTCTCTCTTGAATCGATTCCATTGGTATTCCCCAAAATCTTCTATACAACATAGATGAACATAGTAGAACCCTCTCTTTTTGGTCTGGTTCAAGCTGCCATGCCAGTCCCAGGGTGTGTCAGTTCAATGTCATCTTTCACCGCCATGCTTATTGAAAGAACCCCGCTGCCTGGTGGGTGTTGAGCGTCGCATCGCGTCGCACAGGTCCATGTATCGTTTGAAAAAACAGATCTCGTCCGCCTCGAGAGCCCGCGACGCGCCCGCGACCCGCCGCCTCGGTCGCCGATCTTCCGGTACCTGCGACCGGTGAGAACGTGGTCGGGTCGCTGGCGCGAAGGGCGCCAGAAGCACGGAAGGCATGGGTGGGGCAGCCGGTGAAGACCGGTGCAAGACCCCTGACGTACCGCGGGGAAGTCCGCTGATACGCTTTTCATGCGCTGGGTGTTGGGCACTTCGAAGTGCAAGGCTCCAAGACCGCGCCTTGCGGTCCAATTTCGACGACCGGTTCCGGTGTTGCATCTCTTCCACCCGACTCGTTCGGGGGTGTCTATTGAAACCACCGAGCCCTCGCTGTGATTCGGGGTGTCCATTCACCACCCAACTCCTGGAAGTCCTGAGACTTTTTCAACCAGCAGTCCTCCAGTCTCCCCGGTCGCCTGAGGTCCATGCCCCGGATGCGGTGGGGCCTCGGTGGGGCACGGCGGACGGGACGACGGTGTGGCAGTGGTTCCTGGAGGGGTGCGCGGAATGGAGCTGAAAGCCCGATTCAGCCGGGAATCAGCGCGACTGACTGGGCTGAAGCCGTCCAGTGAAGTCCAAGGCGTCTCGCAATCTGGTGGAACGGATGCAATGCGTGAGTTTATACGACCTTATATATCCAAAGTATTCCTTAGAATGATTAGATTCCAGAACTGAACCCTTAATGCTTTTAACTTTTAATCATCAATCACAACAAGGCAATGTGTTGAGCAGTTCAAGTATCTACAAACCCATCACTCAGGTTCTAGTATGTACTCGACAGCAGAATGCAACCTCCTCGCAGCCAGTCGCACACTCCGTCGCGCAGCCAAACGCTCCGATCTCGGTCGCAACTGCTGCCATGCGGCGAGCTCAAGACATGCATCGCATGTTGCAGATCTTGAGCAATGACCTGAGGCAAATCAAACCCTAGAAGTCGCATCAAAAGCTGCTTAGCTCTTGCACCACCCTGGGACCCTGAATCCCTTGAATGGATCCTGTAAGATTGGGGTTTATGGTGTGTGCATCATCAGGGCAATCCCTCTGTGGCGCCAAGCAGAAGGACTGTCCTGGTGTCGAAGTTCAGATTCCCCTCCGCTCTTCCCCGCTCTGTGGCTGTTAGCTTCAGATCCCATTATATATTGTTTCCAATGGTTTACAGGATGCCCAATCTGAAAACTTTCTGTGTGGGTGTGTGTGTGAGCCATCTAAACTGAAGCTACCGTAGAACATACGGATGTTCATCGATCTAGAACTTCCCCATGTTATTCGCCAATCCAAAAAAGCTCCCTCTGTGATTTAGAGTTCCCCCATGGTTCATACAAGACGACTTAAGTTTCTAATAGCAATTCAATGGCCTCCGCCCTACTGACCGCGGTGGCCTCCAACCTACTAGTGAGGGCCTCCAACCTACTGACCGCGGTGGCCTCCAACCTATTAGCGTCCTCGTGATGGAGTTTCTAGTTCACTCATGTCACAGTGTTCTTCGCCTTTTGACTCCCCAACACTCAACGCCTTGGACGGGACCTTGGTCGTCATCTTCGGCGGCGGCTTCACCATGGCGGCTTTTGTACCAGAGCGGCGGGAGCCAGGGTGTTTGCTCAATCAATCCGCGATGCCTTCTTGGAGTTCCCGTTGCGGTGCGTTTCTGTGGGCGTTTTAGTTCTTGCCGACTTTAGGGTGATGGAGAACTTGGTCTTGGAAAGATCAGGTTGGTGCTGTTGGGTTCCATCAGGCTTCCATGAAAACCGAGCTCCATGAAAACCAGCGGGCCCCAACAGGTCGTTTCTGCCCTGAGGTCGGCATCGCTTTTTGGTTCGCTTTTTTGGCCACCGAAAAACAGGTCTGTTGGGCGTGTCGAACAGATCGATGAACTGCGACGTATCTTCCTTCCGGCTGTGCATCAGCTGAACCAGGCCACAGAGACATCCCAGTTGCATGTGTTAAAAAAGGTTCAACCTGAGATCTTAGGAACCACCTGATCTTAGGATATATGTGAGACAGGAACCACCTGAGATCTTTGATCGTTCCAAATTTTCCAATGGTCCTGCAGCTCTTGGAGAACTCCAAGGCGTGGATTCAAGGCACCAGCAACACCTCTGTCTTACAGGCTTTCACAAGCTACGCACAAAGCTATGCACAGAACTCAGCATCCGGCATGCTTCGTTGAATGCCCAAGCTCGGCCCGGCTCAATCCGCCGAGTTCGCCTAGTTCATCAGCTACTAGTAGCAAAGGGCATTGCTACTAGGAGAGCTACTAGTAACGAGCGCATTGCTACTAGACCCCCGCTTCATGTCTGCCCACGCACTGCTGCCCTTTTGGAGCCTCGTCATCGCGGTCGTCACACCGGCGGCGCCCGTTGGCATCCGTTGGGGAAGCGGGCACCCCCTCTATAGGGGTTGGTGGAGGGACGTGTCCAGCTCAGACAATCCATGTATGGAATATAGTTATAATGTATGTATTTTTCATACATGAATGAATGGTCTGGGTCATTGTGCCGAACCACTTGGCCTCCCCACCCCCGCGTGATCCGCGTGGCTCGCGATCCCTCTCACTGGAACATGTCATCCGGCAACGGCCTTCCAGTCGAATCAGGGCGGAATCCTCCAAGCGAGCGACACTGGGAGAACTGGAAGCCACAAAAGGGCATCTTCACCTGTTTGTGGAGTAATATTGAGACCGTGGTATGAGCAAAAGAATGCAAAAAAATGCCAAAAGCACGCTTAATCTGTTCTGGCACTGCCACTGCCGGAGCGGATTGAGGGAAAACGCACGTTGTTGTGGCTGGATTGATGTGGCCTTTTCCTCTGGTCGGACTTTCTCCTACAACAGACTTCTCCTGCATCTAGTTGTAAGTAGTGACCACATCCTTTGTCCTTCACCCCGGCCCCCCGGTTCCACCGGTACCTTGCAGGGGGGGGCATGCCCAAACCGGCGAACGATCCGTCGATGCAGGTGGGGAACCTGGGATCCTTAGTTGAAGCCGCCATGTCTTGGGCAGCCATGTCTTGGGGGTGTTGAGTCACCCAAGTCCTTCAACATGGATCAACATGGATCATGATCATGGATCAGGCATATCCGCATCCGCTATCTTGATGTATGCCCAAAGAAATCAGATGTGAAAAATAGACCGCTGCAAACCGACGACATGGCGTTTCTCCGCTCCTGTCGGTGGTGGAGCCCTACCTGTGCGTGGCGTGAGTTGGTTCAGGTGTGGCAAGAGACCTGGGTGTACGTTGCTCAAAGCTTTAGTGTCATACCGCAGCAAAGAGGAGATGGTGAAATCTCCAGATCCAAACCAATAGGAATTTGTCATGTTCTCGGATGGGTTCATATTCCATCATATTCCATCTACAATCAGCGCAGGATGATTGTAGAACCCATGACTCGAGAATGTGTCTTTTTCAGTGTTCCCCATGCACCCCTGCCATGCAGAGAAAGATCGAGCTAAGCTTTGATGAGCCATGTTCTCGCAGGCCGGGTACTCCATGGGTACTCCATGGCTACTCGCCACGTCTCGTCATGCAGTCGATCGACGGTCGATCGACGGTCGGTCGCGATCAGAGAGGACCATCCGGAAGTGACTCTGAAGGGATTGATTTGGGATGATCGTCTGTGGAGGTCGGTATGGTTGGTATGGTTGATCTGTTGTTCGGTCGATTGGTCCGCGGGGCTCTGACTCGAAATGAGTTGATCGGCAAAATTAAATCATGAGCAAGTAACTATGATCTTGTTGACTGGAGACTGAACACTTCGAAAACCTTTACAATCCCACTGCTCTTGGGGTAACCAAACTGGTGGCTGCAAATGTGTGGCACATCGCGAGACACCTTGTTTGCGCCCCCAAGGTGCCTGGTGTGTCTGGTCTGGTGCCCTCTCCCAGCTGTCTTCTGGCGCTCGGCCGACAATCGGCGCCACCCCCCCCCCCCCCCCCGCCACTCACTGCGTCCGTCCCAAAGCCATGGGAGAAGGCCGAGCACGACTAGGAGTGGCACCCCGGCGGCCACCCCCGACCCCCGATCTGCTGGGGTGTGTCATGACTTTTGGGGCCCGAAACCCTTGGAGATCAAGGAGAGGGGCGCAGGTGAGTCCCAGCCTGGGCAGGGACCGTGTGGAGCACCCTTCCCACCGGGCGGTGGAGGCCTTGGCTTCGGTGGAGAGCAGATCTGGAGTCACTGAACCAACAATATGTATATAGGAGGAAAATGAACTTCCTTGATCCATATGGAGGAGGAAGATCATCTTCCTTGATCAAGGCTCAAGAAGGCTTCGAAGGATGCCAGCCAGATCAACCCTAGTGTGGCGGAGATGCAGCTGTTGGCAGCTGGTGCAGCTGTCATGCAAACTTGCTCGCTATGTGACACGGAGTCTTGCAAGCAAAGAACGTCTGGTTCAGGCGCCTGCTATTCAACAGGTCTGCCAGGGCGCTTAAGGATGTTCCAAAAAGGATCAAAAAGGAATGGTCGAACGCTCTCGCGGCATCCTCAACCAGTAGGATGGTTTGCCACTCAAGACTTCGAACAGGAAGTCGGTCGAGGTGGTCGACACGGTCGTCCTCCGAAGAGCTGCGCAGAGTCGCCTTTTTTCCACGTCGATCGGTCGCCTTTTTTCGGCGAAGCACTGCTGCAACAGAGAGGAAAGCCCCAACTGGATCTCCCCAAGCTGTCGTTGTTCAAGTCCAATGGAAAACCGATGGTTTTGGAAAATGGATGTCCATTGGAAAATGGTTGCTTTCCATCGGTTTTCCTAGGATCCTTTTTGGAAAATCGGAAAAAACATGGCATTTGCTTCATGTCTTCCATGAACGCATCGACTCCGTGTCGATCGCAGACATGTGCGCTTGCAGATGCAAGCGGTGAACCGAAAATCTGAACACTATCCTAAGTGGATTGCTCGAAGAATGGATCGATTCTTCTTGCTTGCCTCAAAACGATTCTTGTCCGAATTAGTCCGAATTATGCATGTCTAAAACAAAAAGGGAGCGCATCGTGCGAGTGAATTCGGGAAACGACCAAACACGGCACGTACGTAATAGTGTCTATCAATGTCTTGGTTACGAAAACTGACGCCCTCAGTTTCTTTGGAAAATCCTGGTTATTGCATGTTATAGCCTTATATATAGAACTTAGAAGTTACCGTCCCTGCAACAATCATGGAAGTGGACACCCCCCTCTTAGATCTCTTAGTAGAGGAACATAGTCTTCCAAGGGGCCATTGTCCGCTTCCATATTTGTTTCAGGGAGGGCAACCTTATTCCACTTGCTCTTTTGCGTGGGCAAACCGATCTCCCAAAATGGTTCAAGGAGACCCGCTGAGTGGGTAGGAAAAAGTCCCTCTATAGAATGATAAAACACATGATGCACTCTCCTTGCTTCCTGTAGTTTTACGATGGATGTGGGTTGACACCCCTTCAACCCCTGCCATACTTGTGAGAATGATCAGAACACTCTTCCACTGACTTCTCATCTCGGACAACTCCCAGCAATCTCGAACGCTCCAGGAATCCACCATCGAACCTTCAGCCTTCTTTCCATCCGAAGGACCCACTGCCAGGCCCACCTGCCAGGATCCTGGCCTCTGCCAGGATGGCCGCGCAACTCATGCGCTCATGGCTGCAGGGCAGCCCGCAACATCGGCGGCGCGCCGTGGCGTAGCACCACCTCGCGCGAATGCGGTTCGCGCGGCGCAGTTCTTCGTGTTCGCCGCGGGCGGCGGTAGAACGCTCGGATCTTCGGTGAGTGGTTTGGGTTGGAAAAGCCTAAGAGCTTAGGATCTTCACCAAGGGTGCAAAAGAGGCCAACTCCCTCAGTTGCCTCAGTTCCACCTATTGGATCCTATTGGTTCTTAGTGGGGAAGCCAATAGCTATCTCCACTCTTCAGCTGGGTGCAAACCTTCCACGTCGCGTCTCTCTTTGGGTCCCATCCAGGTCTCCCCAGCTCCTACGGCCGCGGTGTTGGACGTCCCAAACGCCTCTCCCCCCCGGACGGGTCCAGGCCCTCGGTCGCGCGCACGCGCGCGCGGAAGCTCAGCTCAGGTGCCACGAAGGACGCGCCCAGTCCCGCGACCATTGCGGACGGCAGGTCCAGCTGAAAGAAGGAGGACCTCCCGTCGCAGGTGCCGTTCCCGAACCCACGCGAACGCGGAAGGGAGACGGAAGTCAGCCCACACTTCCGGTGCTGACCGAGTTTCAAACCACTACGGGGTTGGTCCAGAAACCCAGTCTTTGGGGCATGCCACTTCCATGTGAACGTGATTCAGAGTGTATCTCTGGAATACAAGTGGATGGCCTCTGCAGCACATGCATCTCTGGCTGACTCATGGTTGTTCAATTTGGAATTGTAACAACCACACCAAAAGAGGTTGGTTTTTATCTGCTGTTTAATTTTCAGGCATGCCTGGCGGTGCATTCTGCATAGGTTCCCAAGTTGTTGCTTTCATCGGGTTGACACAAGAAGTGTCTATATGCGCTATACGATCCGTACCTGTTCTTTCAAGTGAGCATCAGCTGTCATTCAGCCTCTCAGTCTTGCTGGAATGGAGTTGATCCATGACAGTGCTGAAGCGACAAAGCCATGCAACAAATTGGCGTATCTCCTTGGTACTGTGT